TACGAAAAGACAACAATGAAACTTTTGAATACAAAAGGAAAAGTTATGGATGAACTTCCACTAGATTTAAAGTTTAACAAATATACAAACACAATAGAATCATATTTCACTAAATTGTACGTCTTAAATGTATTTATACTTTTAAAGAGTTATTAATTTATCATATTTATGGGATGATATATTTAAGGGATCTACTGAAAATATATTATCTTATTCAAATATGTGATTTTTTTCTATTGACGCAAGTCTGAAGTAAAATATTTTCTTAGAGAACTTATTAATTTAATGAGGTTTATATGTATTTAAATATAATTAAACTCTGAATAAAGAATTCTTTTTTTAAAATAAATGAAAGATATGCGGTTAAAAAAAAATAAATTATTAATTATAATGAAAATTTAATGCATTTTGAGCAGTTGGAAGTTAAAATTCCATTAATCATGATGCAGACTTTTGCCCTAGATATTAGGTATATGTATATTACCCTTACCCTAGGTACATTTTCTATTTATTAATTTACATGGCCTATTTAAAATATTGAACATTAAATTTTCTTAATTTTGATTTATAATTTAGATTTAGATATTTAAAAAATACATAAAGTATATTACAAACCACAATAATTAATTAAATAAAGTGTGAACATTAATAATTATTGTGCAAGTCATGATCAAGTTTCATTAATTATTATGAAAATCACGATCAAATTTCTTAATCAAGAATGATCTATGTGATATATACATTAATAAGAATTTCTAAATTTTTATTATAGAATATGATGTGTTTATTTCGCAATGAACCTCTTGATAGGGAGTGTTTTCTCTTTAACGTGATATGAGCAATTCGAATTTGATTATTTGTAAATTTGAGTATAAAAAAAAGACGTAAAAGATAATCTCATATTTTATGGTACATATATTTTTATCGATCAGTCAAATTTTAATGTGAATATGTTTAGATATTAGTCAGATTTTAATGTGAATATGTTTTGGAGATTTAAAATTTTGGAGAAAGTTTAATAGAAAGGTATATTGTTATGCTAAATCACTTCAAAATTTATTAACTATGGAAAATAATGGGAAATAATAAGATTTTTAGGTTGAGCTAATCATTAAATTTAGCATTTAATGATAAATAAATAAGGTGACCTATGATCACAATTCACAACCAATATAATTAAATGTAACATTATGGATATAAAATTTATTATTTTCTCACAACACGTGTTGGTTTTTAGTTACAATAAATAGGTACTTTTTCCATAAATACATTAATTAATAAAGGGATAATGTCCAAGTAACCCCTCAACCTAGGTCCGAAATCTCAGAGACACACTTATACTATACTAAGGTCCTATTACCCCATGAACTTATTTTATTAATAATTTTTTACCCCTTTTTAGCTTACGTGGTACTATCTTGTGGACCCAACGATGGTTGACTTTTTTTTTCGAACTAGTGCCACGTAGGCTAAAAAGGGGTAGAAAATTACATATAAAATAAGCTCAGGGGGTAATAGGACCTTAGTATAGTATAAGTGTATCTCTGAACATTCGGGAATAGGTTGAAGGGGTACTTGGGTATTTTCCCATTAATAAACAAATAATTTCTATCTCCAAAATATAAATATTCATTTCTAATTTTATTTCATAAAATATTAGAGATAAATTAGCTATGAATTATTTAGCCCAATATATTAACGACAAATTTTGTAATTAATTTCTCTCCTTTATAAACTATTCAATATATTTAACAAGTTGTATTAGGGTTCTTTCATTTGCTAATTTCATATTTTATTAATTATTATATGTTATTAGTTAATAAAGTATTTTTTCCTTTTATATAATCGGCGCACGAAGAGTAAAAATATTCATCACTAAGATCTAGAGGTGTGTGGATGACTCGGGTTCAAGCTTTGTAAAGAGAAAAAAATCAACCTGAAAATCGTTCACTTTTCTCAAGAAATTTTATAAAATACTAATTTGATTCTATCGAAACAAAATAATATTTTTTTTAAAAAAAAGATTATTAATTCATGAATAGATCCAAAAATATTTAGGATCACATGTTCATTCAATTATAAAGTAAAATATCAAATTATTAATTAATATAAAAAAAGATAATTCTTGTATCACATGAGAAGAATATTATGATCCAATCTAATCATTTATACACAAATTAGGACTTTTGTGATCATGTCAAACTGGAAAAATATTTATTGTGCCTTAAGAGAAATAAATGGCAAATATGAATTTGAAATTAAATTATATTAGTATAAAATTCTAGCATAATGCGAAATTTTATGGTTTCTTAGAAAGATAATAATTGGGTTTGATATCTAATATTTGTACATATTTAATAAATATCAATACAAATATATTGATTGAACAAAAATAACTGAATTTCGTTGAATTCATTTATCAAGCATGTCGTCTCGCCCATGAATCATCGTAAAAATGCCCTTCGTAAAAAAAATAAATATATATATATATATATATATATGATGTTACTGTATGTTTTTATATATACTGAACGTCGAAAAATTATATTGTATATAGGTCAAATATTACTTATACTTATATACTAAATTTTGAAAGTACCCTTGCATATTCTAAACGAAATTTTTTATTAAGTCAATAATCGAATCTATAGTCCGAGTGTTTAGCTTCTTGCCCCACCCCTGAATTGGTCGGATATTGAACTCCACTCATCAAAAAATTATATTGTGCGCATAATATTAAATTTTATTAATAATTATATATTAAATCTTGAAATTACTCTTATATATCGTTAATAATACACTTAATCTTTCTACCGATCGAACTCGTAACTTATATTGTGGATCTACTCAAACAAAAAGGATCACAAAAAATTCATCTAATAATAATTGTAACACTAAATGACAAATATTATTATTGTTTGATCTAAATATGTAACATTTTTATAACATAAAAGAGAGTTAATTAACTAACTATTATCACGGATTAAACATACTATCACGGGTTAAATCTGGATTTATCACGGGATAACATTTGAATATATTAATTTTTGTTTTATATATTTGGATTTTAGTCCCCCAAAAAAATAATCCAAAAAGAAAATTTCACAAATGAATTATTTTTTCCAAATAAACTAATAAATATACGCGGCGTAAATTTAAAATTAGTTGAATGTTGAAGTACTTGTTGTCATCATATATATAGATATCCTCACTTTTAATAAGAAGTTTTGAGTGTGAAAAAGTTCTCGATGGAGAGCACTTCTCGTGACATGAACCTAAATTAGTCGGAATTCAAAACGAACACTCAATCGTTGTTATATAACTAATGGAATGCTTAGAATATCTCCATTACCTGCTAAAATTTTTTTATGCCATTAAGGATTATGATGTAATGAATATTTCTTCAGTACTCTTAATTAAATATTTTGAGTTTGAGTCTATGAATAAAAGAAATTTCCAGTAGGAAATATTTTTCCTTTTAACGAGTCTTATGGCGATACATATTTAATTTAATCAAAGCCTCAAAATGAGATCGAATATCGGTGAAAAAAATACTATGAAAAATGGAAATTATTGGAAGATGAAAGAAACAATTCATTTCTAATTATGGGTGTATTTTAAAATTTTTTTTCAAGAATTGGGACCATTTAATTTAAATGCAGTAGGTGAAATTGTTATTAAATAATGAAAATGTCAGAATAACTACTAGACAATAACACACCAAGCAAATTATATATTTTTAGATTTATTTTTACATTCATTAATAGACAATAGTACAAATTAAAAAAAATAATTAAAGCTATTTCAATCATTAAGGAACTAAGTAGAAAAAAAAAACATTTACAAATTGCAAATGGTCACAAAAGAAATGGATAAATTCTCTATAAGGAGGAAAAATTGTAAATAAATTCTATTGGTTCATAATTATTTATATTTTAAAATAGGATTTCACTTATATAAACTAATTATATATAAAAGATTTCCACTATTTTTAACATATATATAATTGGGCTAGGTAATATGCTATAGTTTTCAAGTAATTACTAAATTCACTTTATATAAAAAAAAAATTAGTTTTCACTCTTCAATAATTCGGTAACGCTATAAAAGAGAAGATATACTTTATATTCATCCCCCACCAATGCGGCCTCGATCCTCTTTTTCAAGAGAAACTGCTTCTTCAGAATATCCAAAAAGAGTGGGAGGTGCATGGGCTCGTTCCTCCCGATAATTAGAAGAACAACTGGTGTTGAAGCTCCGCTTTTCTTTAGATATTAAGAAGGAGAGGGTGTTCTAATTTCGGAACCAAAACAGCGCACTGAAAGGGCACAACATCGGGCTCGAGAATGTGCAGCCATGCTTCTCTCCCAGGAGGGTAAAATGGACCTGACGAGAAACCCCTTCTCGCGTCGCACGCGGCAAGGAAACCTTCAAGAGCCTCGCCCGAATAATAATTCAGAAATAATAACTACGTATCAACTAGGAAGTATGTCGAATATTCAAGAGCGAAATTTTTTGAATTATAATCCAAGTAGAGATAAAATTACAATAAAACTCATCCTACAAAAATTGAACTTTGAGACAAGGTGAATAAATGAGATTTGATTAGAAACTTTTCTCCAGTAAAACAATATTAAATAATTATATGTTGAATCATTAATGCGATCATACCAACATTAATATATCAAACATCGAAGTTAAACATTTTTGGATGAAATTTGTAGTATTACGAGGATAAATGATCCTCTGAAATGTATGAGATAAGAGTAAGGTTTGTATACATATACTCTATCCGTTTCGGATCATCGTTTATAAATTTTACTCAATATTTTATTATTAAAATATTATAAAATATTGGGAATATAGTAACATTAGCACATGTGAATCCTCTTAAAGTCTATAACTAGACAAACTTTTTACACTTCAAAAACCATACACAACCTATTTATTTCTATCTCCTACCACACCTATTTTTCTCATTTATTTAGAACACATCACAATAAATACAATTATTGTCACAAAAACAAAGCATAAAAAAGCAAACTTTCCATCACTTGTTCATTATTTTGTCTATATATCTTTCTTCCATACTCCCAAATTATTCCTTCAAAAAAAAAAAAAGTTGTTTCAAATGAGTTCAAAAAAACTTGTGACTTTTGAACTTTCTTTCTTCTTCTTGATTTTATTATTAGGGTTTTCGAGTGCAAATCTCGATAAAGATAGAGAAGAATGTGCTAACCAACTCGTCGGTTTGGCCACGTGTCTTCCTTATGTCAGCGGAGAGGCCAAATCTCCCACACCGGATTGTTGCACCGGTCTGAAAGAAGTTTTAGATAAAAGCAAGATATGTCTATGCATCCTGGTAAAAGACAGAAATGACCCTAGCCTTGGGCTTAAGATCAATGCTACACTTGCACTAAGCCTCCCTACTCTATGTCATGCTCCACCTAATATGTCTAATGTATCTATGTGCCCCGGTAAGTACATGACACGTGTTTTTTTTAACTGTTTAACTTCTATTTATTGATACTGAAATTAAAAATTACAATATCGAGCCAAATAAAAGATAATTATGAGTAATTATGCATAGAATTGAATTAGTAACCTGAAAAATAAGACATAAAATATATATTGTACTTTTTTAGATTTATTTTGACATTTGGAGTTGTGATTTATTTTTGCAGAATTGTTGCATTTGGCACCAAATTCACCAGATGCTAAGGTTTTTCAAGATTTTGCAAAGAGTGCAAAAGGAAGTTCTGCTGCTCCATCTGCACCAGGTACAAAAAAAAAAAGAAAATCAATCAAAATATTTTAATAAATTTAAATTAATTCTTTTTTTTTCTTTATAATTTATCTTCTAGTTGATTCATTTTATACTACCCTCTATTTTTATAATCTGTTTAAAAAATAATATAAAACATTTACATATATATAACAATTTTTTTAAAAAAAATTTAACTTCTTATTTTACCTTCAATGACATGTACTGCGACAAAAATATTTTTTAAGGGCATTAAAAGGGCATTAAATATTAACATTAATAAAGAATGCTAAAATCTTTACTGACATTACTTAACTACTATCAAAATCAATGTCGATAAATACTTTAGGGATATACACAAAAAATGTTAATCGCTGCTAAAAATATATATTTAAAGACAATTAAAATTAATTACCATTAATTATCATTTTTAATGTAGTGATGTTGTAAAGGGGTTCATCAACACCTTTTTTTTTAAAAAAAAATTACACTGTACATATAAGAGATATTTTTATGTATCTACAAATATTGGATTCGTTTGGTTTTCAATTAGTAGTGTGTCTATAACTAATACCACAAGTGTTTTTCGTTTAAGATAATTTTGTGTTCAGTCAAACTGTATCGTGTTAAACTAAAGTAGAGAGAGTAATTTTTTCTTATTTCCATTTTTGACCTTTGATTAATTTATACAGTTAGTGGGAACTCTAGTGGAAAACCAGCAAATTCTTCAACAAATGATAAGAATGATGGAGGACATAAAAGGAGATGGATGGGATTTGTGGAAATGACTATGGGCTTTTTGGTCATTTTGATGCTTTCATATCTCACCTAACTTTTTAACATATAATTATTGTTTTTTTTTTCTAAAAAAAAGAATCACATTTGTACTTTTTTTTTTTACCTTTTTGTGTTTCCTTTTGTGTTGTTGGCTTTTATTAGTGTGTCTTTTGTTTTCTTATTTTGCAACTCTAGATTTGTAATCTTCAATTCTTTGGAATCTTTTTTTTCTTTTAGCTATCAAAAATAGAAAAATATATTTGCTATGTGTGAAAAAAAAAACTTTGAATCACTATTAATTTTGGGATCTTTTTATCCGCACATCAATATCTAGTATTTGTATAAAAGCTCGATTAATATGTGTGTATGTTTCAGATCGAATAGTAAAATTTTAAAGGAAAAAAATTTTGAACTTGAGAAGATAGTTAAAAAAAAAGAGGATAGTTTATGTCATATAAAAGATTCAAGGCTCTCGTTTTTCACCGATTTGATTTTCCGTTTCATTCTATTCAGATCTGAATATTCTTTTTCCAAGGTTCTATACTATTCGCAGCATGCACATTCATGATTGGCGGTATTTCACCTTTTTTATCGGGGATACATCGGATTGAGCTAGCTCTGATTATCATGACATATTAGGTTTTGAGCCTAAGTCATAAAGAGAATCGTCCAAACTATATAAGCAAAATCGTGATGGTTCTTATATATATATGATTGTTTATATGGTTATCAAGAAAAAGATGTTTTTAATTAAAAAAATAATATATGTTATGTTAAATTTCTCATTATTCATAATGACCTAGTATATTGTCATATAATATTTATGACTAGTTTTATATCACAAATTCTATTTATTTATTTATTTTAAAAAAAGTCTTTCATACTTAATGAAAAACATATACAAATTGGAATCAAGAGAGTTATTTGATACATAACATAAGATATCAAATATGATTATTTTATCCCATCTTCAAACCTTTTATATGAGATATTATTTTCATTTTTTAGTACAAATAATTGAACTACATAAAGCTGAAATTAACTAAATTCTGTAGATTTATTTGACACTATATAGTATATTTGAAATACAGGGAAAAAATACTATCCATATAAAATTTTCAAAGGAGTTACAAATAGATCTATCGATTTATTCAATTATTGATGATTTTAAAAACGCAAAGCGTATATTATAATAGTTTCTGAAATTACTATCGAAAAAATATATTAAAAAATCATTGAATCATGCAAAATAAGATTAATATCAAATTATTATAATTAAAATACCATCCTTCCAAGAAATTGCTTTTTTTTGGCTTATTTCTCTCATATTATCACAAAAGTCCAAACCAAACCCATCCTTGTTGTTCTCAAATAGCTTCTCCCTCCAAATTAATGTACACCTCTCTAAGCACAAAGTACAACCATCTAAAGCACACCTACCTCTTCCAAAGCTCAATATTTCTTCAACTAAAAATTCCAATCAAGACTCAAGACTCTATATCTTCTTCAAGACTTAAACCAATAAAGCTGACCCCCCCCCTCAAACCCCACAAGATAAGGTACACCTCTTTAACCAGAAGGTACAACCATCTAAAGCACAATTTCCTTGTTCAACCACCATTCATGGCTTTCAATTCAAGATTCCATTTGGGGTTGCTTATTTTCTTCATATTAACCCCTTTTACTATCTCTTTCATCCTCAGCCCATCACCACAGCCAGAACCAAAACCCACAATCTATGATATCCTCACAGTATATGGGCTGCCAGGTGGCATCTTTCCAGACACTGTGGAATCCTATAATCTTGATAAAGATGGAAACTTTGAAGTATTTCTGAAAGCCCCTTGTTATGTAGAGTTTGAATATTTGGTTTATTATGCTGAAAAGATTAGTGGGAAACTAGGTATTGGGTCCATTACTGAGTTAGAAGGGATTGAAGTGAAAAGATTCTTGTTTTGGTTTAATGTTAAAGAAATTAGAGTTGATTTGCCACTTTCTGATAGTGTTTACTTTCAGATTGGTTTTGTTAACAAGAAGCTTGATATTCATCAGTTTGAGACTATTCATTCTTGTATGAAGAGTGGATCTTTGAGACAAGTTCTACAGGTAATTAGTTTGCTTTCAAAGTTTTAGTCTTTTTGTTTTGTTTCATTGTATAGTCGATCCCAACTTGTTTGTGATTGAGTCGTCGTCGTAGTAGTAGTAGTTGTTGTTGTTCTATTAGGAGTATATGTTGTTGGGCGTCAAAAATTACATTGTATATATAAGCTATGTTGCTCGGATGCTCCAAAATGGGGATATTCCAAGACCCACACCTGTCTTTTCGTTTTGTTTAATTGTATAGCCGATCCCGACTTGTATGTGATTGAGTCATAGTAGTTGTTGTTGTTGTTCTATTAAGAGTATATGTTGTTGGGCGTGAAAAAATACATTGTATATATAAGCGATGTTGCTCGGATGCTCCAAAGTGGGGATCTTCCAAGATGCGCTACTTTTGGAGGATCCGACGCACACATGTCGTATACTTTTTCTTTCGAAGTTTTTGTCTTTGTGTTCTGTTTGAGACTTTAGTTGATCCCTATTTGTTTGTGATTGAGTCGTAGTAGTTGTCGTTATTCTATTAAGAGTATTTGCATGTTTGGTGTGGAGCTAGAGGGACGGAAAATTACATCGTGTATATAAGCTATGTTGCTTGAATTCTCCAAATAAGGGATATTCTAAGATGCACTACTTTTGAAGGATACGGCACACACCTATACTTTTACTTTCAAATAAGAGTTTAAGATGTTGTTTCTTAGCTTTAAAGCATGGATTTTTCAAGGAAAAAAAATCCAAGGAAGAAGAACTAGGGGTTGTTTGGTAGCTGGTTTGAAAATGAGTCGTGCAAAGTATTAAATCTAGCATAAGTAACACCACGTTTGATAGCTAGTTACAAGTGAAGTTCATAATCATAACATTAATACGGTGTTTGATTTGCAATCTTGAAACCGACACATCTTATATATGTATAAGTTATGAGAGAATCAATGTGAAGTTGGAATAAGTTATATGAACAACTAATCTCTGCATAAAATAACAGACGTAGATTCCGTTATAACTCATACTGTATCACTAATACATGTATAACTCTAACTAGCTACCGCACGAGCCTTTGATGTTTGTAAGTTGTTAACAACAAATTATCTATATTTGCAGCTTCCAGCTCCTGTCAATGATATGCAAATGCTTATTACTGAGTAAATGGGAAACAATATGCAACTCAAGGAGAAAGTAGCAATGGGAAAAATGTACTATTTGTGAATTGAAGGAAAATCAAGACTGGTTATGATGAAGATTAAAGATTCCACATGTGTATCGTTTATAAAGACGATCTTTGTAGGATCATTTTCTTCTATTCAAATTGTGAAGGACTGATTATATATATTTAGTCATTTTCTCGATGTTTGATTACTTGTTAGTTAATGTATATTCCTCTCTTACACCACCACCCCTTTCTATCCGAGTCTGTTTCGATATTTTTGATACGAAATATAATCAATATGTGAAAAGATAGTATTAAATATGTAAAATTGAACGTGGATTCAACACACAAAAGTGTTAGAAGCATTTCAATTTTCCAATTTTTTTTTTTCAATCCAACTTTGTTTCAATTTTACATAATAAATTAAGGTGATAATACATTAATTAATCGTACATAATTTGATGTAAACATCGAGCGATAATATAATACATCATGGACAAAGTTAGGTATTTTTATTTTATTTTTTATTTTGTTGTTTCCTCATAACTTCCTTTTGTAGTTTATAAATACCCCTATCATCTTTTTAAAGTCATAAAGTTGAAAATTACTTATTAAAACCCTAATCTTTTTCAATCATCCATTAATCTATTTCTAAATTTTTGTCAGTTTTTTGCACTAGTAATAAACAATTCTGCAACTTCCTTTGAGATGTTTCTTTTTTTTTTTTCATTCACGTAACTTAACTGCATTGGAGCTTGATAATTTTGAAATCGCGCCACGTAGAGCCCTATTCGGAGGAAAGCACTCCTTATCAAGATTATTTTCATATCCAGAACTCGAACTCAAAACCTCTGGCTGAAGAAGGAGGAGTATCATCCACTACGCTATGATATAGAAACAGAAAAGACCTAACAATAAAAAAAGGGATCGTAACACTGTTAGTCCCTCAATTATTGATAAATTCTAATTTAAATCCTCTTAAAATTTGATAAATTACATTTTGACTTTCAATTATATGAAATGTATGCATTTAGTCCCTTTGAGTAGGAAACATTTTACATTTGGATTATATTTAAAACAATATTACCATAAGATATGATGCAACAATACAAGCGTAACATAAAACACATACAACTAAATGGTGGAACAACTAATAATAATCATGAAGAAATGGATAAAACATACTAAAAAACGTACATTTTAATTAATTAAACGTTAAATATGCTTAGTCAGATATCACAAGTATTAAAATTGAAATTCAACAATATAACTAAAATAAGTGCTTTGCCTTTTCCTTTTTGGCTTCAAAGTATTCATAAGAATGCCTTTCACTCATGAATAAATTAACTAATCTTTATAACTTTCCTTTGCTTTTTTCCCATGAAAAACTCATGCTTTAAATTAAAGCTAAATAAAAACAATTTAAACTCACAATCTTGCAACTATTTAAACATCAATTTTTTCACTAGCTAAGAAATCCATCAGCATTTAACTTAACTCTTCAACCTCCATAGAAGCGCGAAAAACGCCAAAAATAAGCTTCAAATGGATCATCATCATCACCAAGAAAATTCATCAAAAAACATGAAGGGGTTGCAAAAAAATGGTGGAAATAGAGAGAAAATCGCGTCGACGAGGCACAAGTTCTTGGTGGAGGATGTGAACAAGTTGGCTGATGATTTCATCAAGAATTTCAGAAAACAACTTAAGTTTGAAAGAGAAAAATCATTCAAGCAATTTCAAGAAATGCTTAGTAGGGGTACTTAAAGAATACATATATGATGCTTTGTTTAGTTGTTTCTTGTTTCCATAAATGTTGTGTGTGTTTTTTGCTTTTTCTTGAGCTGAGTGTATATCGGAAACAGTTTCTCTACCTATCAAGGTAGGAATAAGGTTTATATACACTCGGCGCTCTCTACACCCCATTTGTGGAACTATACTGAATATGTTATTTGTTGTTGTTTAGTTCTTTCTTGGAATTGTAATGTTCTCAAGTTAAAATATATAGTATATTTGTTTTGTCATTCTTGTGAAGTGATAT